AACCAGAAAATTACGTAAACTGCACTCTTAACATACACATTCAATGCATTCTACCGGTAGCAAATGTCGTCAATAGGCGGAAATCGATTCCCAAAGTATAATTAAGGAAAACTGAATCCATAAGGCTAAGCACGAAAATCGCTCAAAATGTCTCATAGGAACGGCTAGGGGCACAATAAGCAAACAGTTAGAGCGACCCAACTGAAGTATGATTCTACCGAAAGTAAAATCCAAATGTAGAGTTCGGCGATTTTGATGAAGCGTAATAGTATTTAAAGACATCTGGCGCAAACAGTGGTCTGTGAGTAATACTTGTCAATGTGAGCAGGTTCAGAAACAAACGTGATGAGATCTTACTTTTCATCTCTGAACACCATACACACGTTCAAAGAGACTGGTATTCTCTGAGATCTTGGAGACAGAAATTAGCATACCAGAATAGCAACTCACCCGAGCTGATCGTACTAAATGGAGGACAGGAAGGGGAGTGATACTAGAATCGAACGATTGTCTTAAAGTTCACGTCATTGAGGCGTTCTCCAATAATAACGGTGCCGGATCCGTGATGGCCATCAAACACTCAAGATTGGTGTTGCCTACAAGAGCTTCCTCGGGTTCAGGTTCTCTTCCCTTGCACTCAATCAAAACTAATGGCAGAGGTAGAAACTGTCTGCTAGTGGGTGATTTCAATGCACCCAATGTCAAATGGAACCTTCTTCACTGTAATCTTCCGCAAGAATCCTTCAAGGTGGGACTTTTCGACGCTTTTCAAGAATGCAGTCTGATTCAGCACATCTCTGCACAAACGCGGATGATCCCGCACCAGACATCAAACGTCCTTGATCAGTTCACTACGGTACACTGGCATTTGTGATTTGAACCCTCCAACCACTTGGTCGAAGCGACCACACATTAGTCTCCTCAATGTGGACTCGAGGTCTTACCATAAATGACCAGGGATCATAGCGTTGTAACTACTGGCGTACAGATGCATCCAGATCACACCCTGAGGTAAGTACGGAAGATTGGAGTATTCCACAGTCTCTGGGTGTCGAGGCAGCATGAAGGTTACTAGTGTCCAACATGACGACGATCATCGGAAAAGCCGTCCCGAGGTCCAAAGGTAGACCGCTCCACAAAAGTCCCTTAGATCGACCGAGACTTGAGGTCCTTACTGAACAGACGGAGTGAACTGTGGACAGTATTCAAGGATATACAATTAACCACGGATTACTTAAAGTAAAAAGAGGTCCGAAACTTGTTCGTTCTGAAAAAGCAACAGAAGCAGGCTCAAAGGAACAATACCTGGCTGTTCAATCCAAACCGTGCCCGAAGAAAGTTTTCTCATACCTAAAACGAAACACCAAAAGGGGCCTTGGTATCCCTTCACTACTTGCCCTGGAGAAGGCACTGTAATCCATCCCGATGACGAAAAAGCCAATCTACTGGCCTCGCAGTACCCAGCAGTCTACTCGGTTGAGCCATAGGCTGCCCAACAACGATGTGTCCATGTACTCCCCGCCTCTGGGGCAAGTCTAAATTAGCGTCGTGATGGTTATGCGACCAATCCGAGACTTAAACACCTAAACTCCGCACTGGGCCCTGATGGACTACACCCACTACACAAGATGTCGGCCGAGTATATCGTCGATCTGATGTACCAAGTATTCCGGCTCGTGCTTGCGGAGAGCCACTTACCACGCGCTTGAAAAGTAGGAACTGTAATGCCTAATGGCAAAGGTGAGCGGCAGGACCCCGCGAACAACGGCCGACATTTCTGATGTCTGTTGTCTACAAAAGCATAGAAAGAATAACCAAGCGCACACACAACGTTCACTAGTTTGCGCGTAATCTCCCCATAACAGCACGAATTCGGCAAGGTACCATCCTGCATCATGGGACAAATCAACAGACGAAAGGAGACATCTTGATGTCGTCCTCATTGACTTCAGCAAGGCATCTGACAGTGTTACATAAACAGATTCTGCTCAAACTTGAGGGAGATTGTCACCGGATACGTCTTGTGCTAGATATAAGACTTTACGTGATGGTGAACGAAACACTCTCCGTCTCTGTGTCTACGACCAGTGGGGTTCCCCAACGCTTCAGCCTTGGAGCAGAGCGGTTCAAACTACATCAACAAGCTTGCAGCAACACTTAAAACCGATAATCTAGTCTAAGCCGATGACCTCAAAATGTGATCAGAAGTATTCCGCTCCGAGGACGCCGACAGACTCCAAGCTTCGTCTGATCAGCTGCACAACTGGTCCGTCGAGTGGTGAGTCCCTGTTAACCGCGACAAATTTGCCATGCTTCCGACTAGTGGCCCAAATCCGTTCGGTGCGTAACGCGTGGGAGGATAACTCCTCAAGACTAACACACATGAGAAGGACCTGGAAGTAATCGTCTCGCACGATCTCAAGATATCCTTTGACATGCAGGTTTCCGAAACCAACAAAATGCTTTGGGTTTTGAAAAACTCACTTTACAAAATTACGCCGAAGATTATTAAGACTTTATTCGCTTCGCGTTTGTCCGATTCTAAAATATGATCTCACGGCCGTTTACCTTCTAACGAAACCTAAATATGATCTGACAGATAAGGTGCAGAAGCGCGGTTCAAAATCTATATCGGAAATTGAGGACCTTAGCTACACTCTCCGATTTAAGATGTTGGACCTGTTCTCAAAAGGATACCACCGCCGAGACGCAGATCTCTAGATCAGACGCATCCTAAGGGAAGAGCTTGGAAGTGAGAAGCAACAATTATGCCATTTCAATGTAGGCAGCTCGATACATGACCACAAGGGGAAATTATTTAAATCGAGGACACTTCACGCCCGTCCCAAAGCTGCTTTATTTACCAGGATAGCAAATGACTGGAATAGTCTGCCGGAACACATTATTGATTCGCAGCATCGGTAAATGCTGTTGCGACAGGAGTTACAGCATTGATGGACGACGGCTATGTTCGACTGCAATGGTAAGAGACCTTGGAGTTGTCAGACAACATACACAAGGTCTACTGATCCAGTCTCCACATGTCTTGGTAACTTAAGCGAACGTTTTACGTTCGGTCGGGGAAAACTGCTATCAGGTTGTACGTGGCCATGGTTTGCCCACTGTTAGAATACGGTGCCCCAGCCTACTGTCCTGGCACGATAGGTGAAATGAAAAACTGAAGAAAGTACACTTAGCCAATCGCCTGATTCTAACGCTTCGCGGGTTGTCCTACCAACAGAGATGCCATAAATTGCAGCTTCAGACACTGGTATACAGGAGACTAAGGAATGATCCCAGTACAACATTTAAAATCTTGCATCTGCGGCAGTATTTTTCAGTTAAGATGTTTTGCATCACGATTACACCTATCACCCGAGGATATGCTTACAAACCGGAGATTCCACATATGGACCACGTTACACATATTCATATTCTTTTCGTGTGATAAAATTTCTGAAACTGGTTGCCCAATCCTGTTGCTATTGCAGACAGTGTTTCAAGCCAAAAAATTGACAACCATTTTGCAGGCTTATGTTTTGACGCAGAGGCCATGTTCGTACTATTCTCGCCGCATGGATATGTGACAGCTGCATTAGCAGCTTGTGGGTTGTATCCGTATTTCGGGTGTTACCAAGGAACCATAATGGACTCTACACAAACCGGCATTTCACATTACTCGTTTTTGTTTTTAGTTATGATGGAGATGACCAGATGGTATATTTTTCTCCGAATACAGTGAAGCTGATTGCTAGTCTCATCTATTGAAAATGGTAGGTCCTGCTGCTCCTTCTGTAAAGGCGATCTCCGAAGGACGATGTCTATCGACAACATGTATCCATCTTGTAATAATTCGGAAGCAATAGAGCTAACAAGGGCCCTCCCCATGTTCTCAAAATCTTAGTGAATAGTGGGCCATCTGTTTTCGCACCACTTTGTACCTATGTGAGTGACCAGCAGCACGCTTAAACGGGACAACGCACCATCCATCTGCATGAAGGGTATGTACACTTCGAACAGCGTAATATACGTTCGGTCGAGGGCTCCGAGAGCTTGTGTTCGGGGCGTACGTAGGTCGTATTAAACCGAGGGTGACTGAAAGGCAAGGGAGATACTTAGTAGGTGGCTGGAAAACCACCTAGTAAGTGTCGGAGCTGGATGAAAGGTGTGCTTGTCCCATCTCGTTGTTAGCTGGGTGGTACTGCCACAGCTGTCGACAGAGCGCGACGCTAAATGGATGGCGTAAAAGCACGCTTGAGAGATGGTGGCTCTAACATTGGAACATTGTATTTAATGGGAATAAAAGCTGGAGCTTTACATGACCCATAGGGTAAAAAGAGTACGGGTCGGGTTTAATGAAAGGCCAAGCAACCTTATAGCGGGTTGGACTCGCGTGTTAGCCGTATCTTCATCGGGCTTATGTGGCATTTAAACAGAATGCACGCCGGCTCAAAGCGAGACATCCCACCACGCCCTACGAAACGGCTTTGGAAAGGAAGGTGGAAGAAAAAAAGAAAGAAATTCCATCCAGTAGAATGTAGTTAAATCAGGGAATATCGCGGTGTAGCTCGGCCAGATGACAGTCCAAGCGGGTCTTAGAGTCCGCCACAGTGGGTGCCAAGACTAAATTGGCAGGCAGAGCATTCCACGGTCGGCAGATTCGCAAAGCGAAGCAGTGTCGCCTGCAGCTCAGCCGACTGTGCTGATGTGTGAGCCTCAGTGGGTGGCCACGTAGGTGGGAGAAATGGGAAGGTAAAAAGAAGAGGGAAAAACAAGCACTATAAAGACTACGTTCGACAGCAACTTATTTGCTGACTTTCTACTGTGACACTGACGCGCTACAAACAGCACGACAGCAGTTGAAACATGTAAATCATTTCAATGTAAAGGGTATATAACAAATGACCAAACGGTAAAGAATCTTACAATCGCCAAAATCGAAAATCAAAATAACTGTGTAATGTATAAGATTTGCGAAACAAGAAAAATTGAAGACTTACCCATCAAGAAAAATACAGCTACATCCGGAAGACGGGCTCAATAAACATCCAGTTTAGTATGTGATTCGCTGATCCGATGGACTGCGGTTAGCAAGAGACGTCCATTCAGACGTCTTCAATGCAAAAATGATATGATCTCAGTAGAAAGTAAGTCGGAAAGCAGTACGTAACACTACAAGATTATGAAAATTGCATGACAAAAGTTAAAGGCGCTAACTGTCTATCACTTTGTACATATTCAGATTCCACTTTACATGGGACTGGATCGATAAGAAAATCCTTTGGGTGTTAATTTTTGACCGGTTTGTTGAGCCAGGAAATGATAAGGTGCCACCAGGTCTTGATGGATCTACAACGAAACCCTCGAACCACACCATGGTCAATCAGTTACTGCCCACGATTCCTGCACAAGCATTCCCCGCCGTGTAGCCCAGTGAAGTAAGTCCAAGTTCAGTTGGGATCGGAACGATTAGATAATCCGGTGAATGGTCCTGCTTTTGCGTATTGTCGGATCGGGAATTGTTAAGTCTACTTGAGATGTTGAATAGCCTAAAACAGACCGCATCACACCCTGTCCAACCAATTACAGCCCACATTTTCCTGCCCAGCAGTCCCTGTCACGCCGGTTTATGTGAAACAATGTATGAAGGGTAAGCTAAGAAAACAAGAGGAGGAATGTCAGCCAAATAATGCTAATATCAAGGTTGAAAAGTAGATGGAGCCGAGCTTATTCCAATAGGCATGCGCATATAGCGGAATAATCCGAGATGAATACTAATGGTGATGTACGTGTGTGATTCCTCCTCAAGTTCAATTTGTTGGTAGGCACGACTCAGCTCTAGTTCTGTAAGTAGATCACCGCAGGAAAGGGAAGCGTAAATGTCTTCAGTCTTTGGTAGCGGATATCGGTCTAATTCTAGTGTTTGGTTTATCGTAACCTTGTAATCCCCGCAGATTCTTATCGTACCATAGCTCTTTAATACCGGCGCACTGGGGCTGCCCAGTCTGAATACTGGACGGGTTCAACGGTACCTCCAACTGGAGTCGGTGCAGATCACTTTCGACCTTATCACGGAGGGCATAGGGAACAGTGCGAGCTTTCCAGAACCGCGGTTTTGTCTGTGGTTTCCATACCAGATGTGCACTGTACTTCTTTAAAAGTCCTGGTCTCGACTGATCAAATAAGACTGCACGCTTCTGCAAAATCTCGGATAACTGCGGATTGTCTTTCACCAGGTTGATGTTCGACATTATGCCAGGTAGGTGCTTACTTCCATGGCGGCCCAGGATGTTCGGACCCGGTCCTCCAGAAACGTACACACACATATGACCCGTTGAATTACGGTAAGAAATGCGTACATTGAAGGTACCAAGCACATTCACCATCTGTCCAATGTAAGATCGCAACTGTATGTTCGGTGGACACGGCTTTGGAAGTTGGGATAAGGCGTCTGGTCGGATCAAATTGACTGCGGAACCGGTATCAATTTCAAGCTCTACCGGTTGTTCGTTTACTTGGATGGATACGACAAACGGTTTTTCTGCTGTAAAGGTGTAATTAAAAACGGTTGTGGTGTTAGTCCAATTCTGGTGCAATTCAGCGGTAGTGCAATATGTAGCCTTAGATTGTTCCTGGACGAGTGATTTCCGCCTGGAGAGACACACTTTCTGAATATGACCCATTTTTCCACAAAATCTGCATAATGAATGAATGTGCGGACAGTCAGTCGGGGACAAGTGATTCTCCCCGCAACGGTAACAACGGAATTCCTTGCGCTGTACGGGGCGAGGTAAGGCATGTCCACGGTTAGTCTGGTAGACCTTGTTAACGTCATGTGAGGTTGATTGGTTTGAAATGGGAAATGTGGCTAGCTCCTGGACGAGGTTGGCACGCTGTCGGACTATATCACATGCTTTTTCCCACGTCAGTAGCGTTTCATCTTCAAAGAGCAGACGTTCTCGTGGCATCTCATCGAAAACCCCCACGATTAATGCCTGTAACAGCATCGCTTCCTTGAACTGTGCTGGAAGGATCTGAGCGTAGGCGCAGTCAGGGAGAGCAGTAAGGAGAGAAGAGATGAACTCATTTACAATCTCATTTGGCTGTTGTCGCATGGTCTTGAATTTATACGGGGCAGTAGACACATGGAGCTTTTCCCCTCATATTCGGTCCAGGGAATAGAACACAGTTTTTAGGCCTCACTTCGTATGTAATTGTAAACTGTCGAAATGTCGCTGGCCATCGATGTCGAGATGGTGGCGTAGTAATTTAATTTTCGCTGCATCATCATTCGTGCAATTTCCGCCAAGGAGCAAATGTAAATCAACGTAGTTAGTAAATGTAGTTTTCCACTGCAACCATTGTTGCGCAGTTGGCCGTTCAGTAGGAGGATTCCAAAATGGTTGGTGTGCCGTTATTGAATTTGCCATGAGCAATCAGAATAACCTCCGTTGCCAAATTGTCACACTCAACCGAAATCAGAACAACAGTATTGCAACTGGAAGTTTAGTAGAAGCAATGGCAATAGTACATCGGCAGTCCACACTGAGTACAGGGTAACTGTTTCGTGTTATGCAGTTCACATGTTTTATCTTAGCACTCGCTTTGGAACCAATCAATGAGCATCGCTGGTCAGTCGGGAGATGGATAGCGCGCACAATGCAGCTCCACAGGCTAGGTAGTGTAGCATGACCTTGACGCCCTCAACGTCTGTATCAAGCCTCAAGTAGAATACCTTGTCATATGCCGTCGAGAAGTCGACGAAAAGCACATCCACTGAGCGGCCATTGTCCAATGTCTAGGCCAAGCATCGAGAGCGACCAACAAATTCTTCAAACACGAAAACCCTTTAGGAAGCAGTGTTGTTTACTACTGAGTAGATGAAGCCTATTCAGGTGACTTAAGGAAGCCCCACCAGCTTTTCAAGAAGTTTGACCACGACGCTTGTCAGACTGCTTAGCCAATAATTGGCTGACAGCCACCTGTCGCCATTATTAAAGATAGGACAGATGACAGCCCCTTTCCACCCAGAAGTTAATGTACAGCTCTCAAGTAACTCCTGAAAGATCAGCGTCAGCGTTCCACTTAGTTTCACCGCCAACCCATGCAGCAGCACTGGGTGAATTGATTTAGGTTCAGTTGCTTTAGACGGGTTCACTTCTTGCAGCAGCCTAAGGACTGGTGCTTCCACCACAGTAAATTCAGCTAAATAAAACCCTCAGTTAAGCTGGGGCAAGTGCAACGCTCGTCAATGCAGCCCCACCTGCGAAAGCCCCCGCTACTGCTCATCAAGCCTACGAGACTTGTCTGAGTACGCATACGCATGAGCTCCGTCGGCCACATCAAAGCTGGGATTAGAGAATTTGTACCAAATCGATCCTTTACATAAGCGAAGAACGTCTTCGGATTTTCTCCATCAACTAATTACTTTTTGTACAGCTGCCGAGCTTTCCTCAATATTGTTGACATTCATTTTTAGTTTCGCGATACCTATCGGTAGTGTTAGTTGATGGAGCAGCAAGGTATATCCTCCAGCACTTAGAATGCTTCCGAAGAAGGTACGTTCCAGTGGCATTTATCCACGGAGGCCGTGATCGTGGCTCTTTGCCACTCGCAAGCGGGATGTAGGAAGCAGACACTTCATGAGATACCCTTAAATTTCTCCCAGGCTGCCTGAACCATATCGGCCACGGAGAATTCGCAAAGCAGCACAGAAGCCTTGCTAAGCGCTACCTGATAATTAGCAAGCCATATGTTTGTATATGGCTCATGGTTGTGCTGGTGACGTCTGGCCTGAGCACACCTGAATAAGAAACTTACATGAGCAATGGCACCAAATGAGAGCTGTAACTGATGTCACCTAAGAAGTCTAGTGACCTGGCAAAATCTAACTCAAAAATAGGCGGTACTTGGCCATCCATGTACCTAGTGGGGTTTCAACGAACTGATGCAACCGTAATTGCAGCGGAAGCTCAAGAAGATGCACCGAAATTACATGCCGACGAGTTGCAAAAAAGACCTGCCATGCACATTTTCGGTAGGCCGATGGCACCCGGTAGCAGACACCTTTTGCGGACTAGGAGCGAATAAAGTCAACCAACCCGTTGGGGGCGCTTCCAAGGCTTCTCTGCACGAGTACAAACGTCAGTGGAGTTGAGGAGGTGCTACTCACTACCGATAGGGCCTCGAGACTCTTATCTGCCGACTGAAACATGTAGGCGCGCAAAATGTCAATTCCAGAGCTAATGTAGTGCGTTAAGCCCCGCCTCATCGGCCAGCGAAGCGATCACAGCTAAATAGTGCGTAGCCAGAAAGATGCAATTCACCGTCCGTGATGCCCTGAAACAGCCACCTTTCAGTAAATGCAAGTATATCGGCATAAAACACATATAGAAGCAAGCCTCTCTCGTACATATTTTTGCTTAAACTGCAACCATTGTTTGGCACCCTCTGAATATACTCGTAATGTTCAGCCCTGGGTGGTGCGCTTCCAAGACTGGCACTGGTATGGCGGAAAATGCCCGTCGGCTGACCACCCTAAAACCCACCATCCGGAGATCCTGTAAACCGACCGCTCGCCCGGTTATGAGGTCCTTAACTGCCTGTTTTAGCTTCAGCTTATCCGCTAGCGAACGGTCTGGCTAAACGTTAACAATGGTAACCTGCAGTTTGAAAGCAAACCTCAACGGAGCATTGCATTCTTCCAGGGTGTATGGGACTACACGAAGTGCACACGGTCACGAGTTTGGGGCAATAACTGGGACCTTACTCAACCTAGTCAGTTTCCATACAAAAGCAACAGGACACCTAGGCGGAAGGAGCTTCGTTCCGCACATCTTAAACCACTGTAGGTCGTCCAACGTACCTTCGGCAAAAAGCGCGACAGTGAATTATACTGCATTACGGATTATCACGCTGCTATCCGTGAAAGAATCTCCTCGGCAGGGTGTAGTTACCCACCAGTTTTGGAATCTAGATGAACAGCAGCCGGTTAAGCCGCAAAGAATGAGACTGGACTCACATCACCAGGCGACGCTGAAGCAACCGAAGCGTACGTCTTATGCTCCAGTATGTTTGACTCATCCTTCTTGACGCTTTCCGAACTGGCCTGAATAGTACAGGCAAACCTGTTCAAAATTTTCTTTCGTCCTACGGGCGAGGAAGCCCTGGCTTAACCTCC